ATGCGTCGAGGAAGGACATGATTTCACATCCCGCGGTCTCATCAACCAGCTGATCAATGTTTGGCAGTGGGAAGGGGTCCATGGGGCATGCCTTATTCAGATCCGTGTAGTCCACGCACATGCGGAAGGTAGGAGGCTTCTGTGCGAGGACTACGTTTGCCAACCAAGAAGGGTATTTCACCTCCTCAATGTGTTTGATGGAGAGGAGCATAGATACCTCCTTCTTCACGAACTCCCTTCTCTCGGCCGAGAGGGGTCTTCTTCGTTGCTGCACTGGTCTGGCCGAAGGGTCCACCGCCAGGCGGTGGGTGATAACCCTTCGGTCAATTCCTGGCATATCCTCCGGCCCCCATGCAAAAACAATGGAGTAGGCGCGGAGGGCCTTGGTGATGCCAGCTTTCAAGTCTTCGGGGAGCTTGGCTCCAATCTTCAGGACTCTCTCCGGCTTGGCCGGATCGAGTATTAAGTCTTCGGTCTCCTCGGCAGGCTCAGCCCTCGGCCTACCTTCTTCTTCCTCTAGGGCCTTGGTGGTGATTGTGTCAACACGAAGTTCAGTCTTACTAACCTTCTTGGTAAGTTGAAGGTAGCATGCCCTGGAGAGCTTTTGGTTCCCCCTCGAGTAGCCGACGCCAGTGGGTGTGGGGAACTTGAGGCAGAGATGCCTCATAGAGATTACGGCCTCCAAATCCTCGAGGGCGGGCCGGCCGAGGATGATGTTGTGTGCGCAGTCGAGGTTGACGACGACGAATTCCACTTCGAGCTTGGCCCTATGGGATCCGTCGCCGAACTCGACCATGAGGGTGATGACGCCTTCGGCGTCTATGCTGTCCCCCGTAAATCCGGAGAGGGGGGTGTTGATGTGTCGAAGGGACCCCCTGTCGAGTCCCAACTCTTGAAAAGTGCTGAGGTACATGACGTTGACAGAACTCCCCGTGTCGACGTAAGTCCGGTGGATGATGGCGTCATGGATCTCAGCGCGGATGACGAGGGCATCCCTATGCGGCAGAGAACCCGAGGGGAGGTCCGCATCTGTGAAGAAAATTGGATCCGCCCTCGGCCGTTTAGTTGGGGGCGCGTGGCTGACCTCCCCAACGTAAAGGGATTGAGCCCACTTCTTCCGCTGGCTGGTGGAGTCTCCACCAGTGTTGCCACCATTAATCATGTGGATGTGGCGCTTGTATTGTTGGTGGGAGCCCTCTCCCTCATCATCGAGACCCCCAATTTCTCGCTTCTTCCCCTGTGGGTTTCCCAAGGGGATGGTGTTGGGGTTCACCCACTTGTTGGCCTTCGGCGGAGGCCCTTGATGGTGGAGGGGGCCCTGGGGAGGAGGGCCCCTGATAAACTGAGATAAGTGGCCCGCCTGTATCAGCCTCTCGATGGCGTTCTTCAGCTGATGGCAGTCGTCGGTTTTGTGTCCATGGTGGCGGTGGAAGCGGCAGTAGGGCTCATCAGGACCGATGGCATAAATCTCGAGGGGTGTGCGGGAGTCTCGCTCTACGAGCCCCCGCTCTTCCGCATGATCAAGAATGACGCTGACGGGATGCGTCAAGGGAGTGCGTGGGTGCTCCAGGAGGACGGGTTGCGCCCATGCCTTCGGATTGTTCTTGTAACCCCCCCCGGGTCTGGCTTGGCCACCTCGGGAGCGATCGCTGTATTGGGCCTCGCGGTTGGCCGGAGGGGGAGGCCCTCCGGGCCGATTCCTGCCTTCATTCTTCTGAGAAGGATCCGTGTTGCGGCGGTCCTTCTCGATTTCCTCCGCTTCAGCGTATCGATCCCCCCGCTGAAGGGCCTTTGTATAATCGCGGGGGGGATCAGTGATAAGGCTCCGGGAGAAGTTACCATTGCGGAGGACGGTGTGGAAGAGGGCCATCAGGGTCCTGTCATCGGCGCCTTCGACCTCGAGGGAGGCCTGCCTCCAGCGTTCCAGGAAACTCCGAAGGGTTTCCTCCTTCTGTTGTCTCACATTCAGAAGGTGGGAGAAGTGCTTCTTTGAGCGATGCCTCCCAGCAAATTGTGTGAGGAAGCGGTGGGCAAGTTCTTGCCAAGAATCAATGCTGCCTTCGGGCAACCGGTTGAACCACTCATACGCGGGTCCCTCCAAGGTGGAAAGGAACCATACGGCCTGCTAAATTCTTGCTTGCCGAGGCGGTCTTGGACCCCTCGACGTCCGGGAGCTCCCCCAAGCCTCTCAAGTGCAGAGGTCCGGGGTTTCTCCCTCATCATGGGGCGCTTGTCCCTGGATTGAGCCTCCTGGGAGGCGGTATCCTGCGCTATCACCCCCTCGCGGTTGCCAACCCCCGGGGGAGGGTTGTTGAACAAAGGAGGGAGTGGTGGCAGATTGATAACATTCCCTCCAGCATAGGGCTGAAGGGGTGCCTGAGAGGCGAGGGCTCCGGAATTGAGAGCCATGTTTTGAACAAAGGCCGCAAAGGCAGCCTGAAGATCGATGGCCGAGGCCGGAGGGGGAACTTGGTTCTCACTCCGATCCCTCCTTCGATTATCAAGCCCAATGCGGGCATCAGGGGTGTTCTTCTGCAGCTGCTGACGTAGGTCAGCGGTGGCTTGCTCTAACTCGAGGATGACACCGCCCTCGGGTACTAAGAGCCTGTTGGAGGCCTCAACCCCGTTAGTTTCGCCGGGGGCTACGTGGTTCTCCTCAAGGGTTTTGGACTGGGCACGGGTGGTTCTTCCCATTTTTGGTAAGTGTTTTGTGTTTGGTGGAGGGGGAGGGTTTCTTACTTGATTGTTCTGACCTCTCAACGAGAGCACCAAATGATTGATAGTCTACCCGGGGGGTATCTTATCCGAGGGGTTATTGCGGGAATAACTAGAGAGAAGTCAGAGCAAAATAGGAGGAGAGAGAGTCGATTTATTAAATGAACTCAGCGTGTGGAGTTGAGATGTAGATGATGTCGATTACAAGGAGAAATGGGCTGCTATTTATAGCAGCAATAAATGCGATGAGAGTACACGTGTCAGTAATCCAACGGCCGAAGGGTCACATCAGCCTGGTGGCACCGGCAGTGGTACGTTCACCGCATTGAATGCGGTTGGCGGACGTGACGTGGCATTAAATGCGGTGGTTGGCTGTCACCAAAAGGAATCTTCGATGATTGAGCATGCTTGGCCGAAGGCTCCTGGTGTAGCCGAGGGCTCCGTGTAACCGAGGACCCCTGTGTAGCCGAAGGCTCCTTGTATAGCCGAGGGCTTTGTTCAGCCGAAGGCTTCTCTGATGCCGAGGGCTTGATAATGCCGAGGGCTCATGTTTTTCGCCGTTCTCTCTCAGTAGCTTCTTATGCTAGAGAAGGCTATCCTGTGAGTTTTGGAGCCTTCGGCCAAGTAGGCCGAAGGCACCCCAGTGTGTATTCTGGGCTACTTTGAGGCTCGGGCCGTTGTATTTGGGCCTGAGTTGTTCTCTGGGCTCAATGGACTTGTGTAGGAGAAGTAGGAGTCTATGGGCCGGGGGTTCCTGGGCCATATACTCCATCACCGACCGTGACCAAACCGATTGTGATCAATCCGACCGCGACCAATCTAACCGTGACCAAACAAACCGACTGTGACCAATCCGACCGTGACCAATCCGACTGTGACCAATCCGCCCGTGACCAACCCAATTAATGGCCATGACCACTTCAACACCAACGCTGCCACGGCCGCCCCGACAACCACCATCCCCGACCACCATCTTCGTCCGAAGGGGATCGCCGCCGCCACGCGGTGGTGACAGCCACCACGCGGTGGTGACAGCCACCAGTCCCACCACCCGGCGGTGACAGCCGCCACCCATCACCAACCAGCCCCTCCCCAGCCCCCACCAGCCCTCAGCCCCTACAACACCCTCCCCCAGCCCCCAGCGCCCCACCAGCACCCTCCCCCATCCTCCAGCAATGAACAGCCCCCCTCGACCGCCCTCATCAGGACCCCTGCAGCCCTTCAGTACCTTCCCCCATCCCCCTTAAACCCCTACAGTCAACAACCCCCATCCAGCACCATACCCAAGCAACCAGTGGCCCCCCAACCCCCCTCAAGCACCCTTCCCCATACCTCAAACCCTTCCCGACTAGCCCCCCTTTTAGTCTCCTCCCCAAATTCTCAGCCTCCTCCCTAAATCCTCAGATCGTGCACAATAGATTTGTCCCCAGGCTGCCAAAGTCGTAATCGACACTTAGATTTAGTCCATCTCATTGTCGAATGGATGAATCTAGCAGATCCAAGACGAAGCTCACCGTTGTGAACTCCGGCATCTCTGGTCGTCGACGTTGCTGACGGTCGCGTCGCTGGTGGTCGTCGTCTCCGGCGTCGATGGTGTTGGTCGTCTCTGGTGTCGAAGTCTTCAATCCCCATTGTTGCCAGCTACATCGTCGTTTTGTTGCGGAAGGGGAAGTGGTCGCATGTCTCTTGCTTTTGTCCGTCCGAATCTTAAGTCCCCCTTTTGTCCAATTAAAAATTGGTCCTACTTTTGGAAAGTGAAAAGTCTAGGATATCATTTCAGTCTTTATTTCTTAATATTATTAATATTAAATAATTAGTTAAAAAAGAGGTAATCAAATCACCGGTTCCGATTGCAATTTTTGAGAAAAATGAAGCAAATGAGTAAATATCCAATTTCAAACCATAAAAACTACGTGGTTCTTGTTACGGCTCTCAATCCTATTAAAAACGGCAGTTTTAATAAACTGAAAATCTTGGGCAAAATCTAATTGGAACTAATAATACTCCCTCGGTCCCTATATTATCTTCAAATCTTCATTTTTCATCCATGCCAAAAATAGTTTATCTTTCTATTTTTAGTAAAGAATTTGTGGTTCACAATAATCCACTATCTTAATTTGTGTAACATTGTATTTGGGTAGATAATATTGGACAAGAGGGAGTAATTAGTAAGAGTGTTAAAAAAATTCTAACTTAGAAGTCATCATTGCAAAAAAAAAAAACTTGTAAGTCATCATTTACTTGTCAAAGCTACACTCACTGATTTTTTCTGGACATGTTTCCAGGGAATCCATGTCTCCACCCCACTACCACTAAAGAGGGATGTCTAGGGCGGTGTCTATCTAATCACCTCTTGTGTCCACAATTCCTTCGCATCCCTAGGTGTTCAACGACGTCTGAATCATCGGCAAGCTTTGGGCTTCATCAATGAAATTAGAATCATCCGTCGCCGCCGACAGCTCCACCACCATCTCCGCGCCTTCGCAATCACTGCAATCTCCTCCGTTGAAAGTCGCGATTTTGGCTGACCTCAATGTTGAACCTCCCGAGGCCGACAACCATGATTGCCTTCCTACCGCCCTCTCTACACTACCGCCCGACACAACACCGAGGTCCCCTTTGTTCTCATTTACTACATCATAAATTGGGCGCACTGTAATTCGGAAGCAACGCGGAAATAGAACATCAATAAACCGAAATACGATGAAGAGTAATAATTAAATATCAGAGGGGATGACTGCACTTTTATCCTTCTGCAGGTTACTCCAATTATAACTTTCTGGCCAATATTTTTGTAGGATAGTCACTGATGATAGGAGTCAGCATAAGACGAGCAATTATGTTGAAGTAATGGATGTAGAAGGTAAGCAAAAAAAGTCTGGGAAATGTCGGTCAAGAAATGGTAAGGCGGACAGCCCTCTTGATTGTAATGGAGCGGAGATAGATGCTGAGCAGAACAGTCAAGGAACTTCATCACGTGAAGAAAAAGTTAGCAGCCTTAAAAATGTGTGACTTGTTCTGATCCTTGAATCTTCTTTTACTTCCATATACTAGGTATTTGCTTAGCTTATACAGGTATACTATGTGTTTTTGTTTTTATCTTTTCATGGTGCAGTGAAATTAAGTGTATGGACGTATGGTAAGTGTATCTGAAAATTTTGTAATCTAGATTGACTGTCATTTTTTTGTCTTCCAACATTTGTTCCAGTTTTCTTTATCTTTAATTTAAGTTAATACTCATTTATACATCTGAACTTGAAATAAAACATAACTGTAACATAGCAGGCACTAGGAAGTAGTAATTGTAAGTCGTCTTTGATAATTTATAACACAGGAAAGATGTTCTAACATTTAACATTTTGAATGTAATTCAGAGTAAGTGCCAATTGTTGATTTCTTCCCTTTCTGGTTAAGTTGAACCACCTTGTTATATTCTCTAGCACTAAACTTTTATCCCAACTTCGGAACTTTAAACCTGGTTTACTCATCAAGTACTACAGTGTTAAGGGAAGAGTGGAAGACTTTAACTGCAGTGAGTTATGTGCATCTGGCAGTTGTAGTGTATACATTAAATACTGAGGGCAGGTTTTCATAAATTTTTGTAAATCATAGACTATGCACACTATATATTTGTATGGTGTACACTTATACTACTTCTATAATGTGTTTTGGCTCTGCGCTAGGGAGTGGAACTATGAAAATCCCCTACTTACTAAAATTCCCCTACCTCGCCTTCACATGCGCCCAAATTTTGCATTTGATTGATATTGGACCAAGAATGGACAATTGTTGGAAGTTCCTGATTATAGTTACCTTTAGAATGGGAGCTAGGATTTCAGCTTGCATCCTTTTACATTTTGTCGTGATTTTTAATGAGTGTTCCTTCTTAGGTGGTGTTTTTAGGCATAACCATGTTTTATAATTTTAGGGATTGATACATGTTGTGCGGAAAATGCCTAAGAATGCTCATGCTCATTTTATACTTGGCTTAATGTATCAAAGGATGGGTCAGCCTCAAAAGGTATCTTGGGTCCTGCTATAATTTTAATTTAGTTAGCTCCATATTTCTTGAAGCACTTAAGCTCTTCTTATAGGCATGTTTAGAATATGAGAAAGCAGCAGATATTTTAGTTCGACCTGAAGAAGTAGTAGACAGACCGGAGTTACTTTGTTTGATCCATACACATCATGCAGAGGTACCAATACTGACATGCTGTTTTTATTGCTTTCAGCTAGCATTTTGTAATATTTAGTATTAAATTATCTGGCAATTGCCGGCGTTTTCACAATCAGTTTGATCAAACCCATGCAGTGTATCTTGCTAGGAACATTAGATGATTGCAGTTCAGGCAAGGAATTAGATCCTGTAGAACTGGAGGAGATTCTTTGTAAACTGAAAGTCTCAATGCAAGCTGATGTTAGACAGGCGTCAATTTGGAACATTCTTGGCTTAAAACTTTTACGAACTGGTCGTTTGCAGGTTATTTTTATTTCTTAATAATTTATAATAAGAAATGGATATATCTATATTCTGTTAGTTTTATTTCTTCTATATCCTGGTAGGAGGATTCTAAATAATCTTTTACATTTATGGTCTGATATTACTTACACTTTCCCATTTATAGAGTGCTACAGCGGTTCTCTCCAATTTATTAGCAATGGCGCCTAACAACTTGGATTGCCTTGGAAATCTTGGACTCACTTATCTTCAAAGGTTAGGCATACACTACTTTTTCAGTTAGGGCAGGGGCAGGGATGGAGAAGTAAAAAATACCATATTGTTCGCATATTAAAGTCGTGTTTGTGTAAACTATAAAAAGTGGTAACTATATATTTTCACTAATGGCATAATTGATGATGCTATGAATGGACTTGAGATCATTTAGATGCAATAATATGATGGAGTGAAAATTTCTTTTACTAGAGCATGGACTCATAGAGTAGTGAGTAGTGACGTGATAGAGCGATCACTAAAATGGTGTGAAGAAAAAATTGTCTATTAACCAAATCTACACGACTGTGGGAATATGAGATTGGAAAAGAGCAGTTAGTGAATTGGTGCCACTAAATTTTGAAAAGGGACAAACAGACCTAAAACTATATTGCCGGCATTACACTTGCAGCGACTCTTGGATTGCATTGCAGTTCCTATAGCAGGTTCAATGAAATGATTAAAATCTGTTATGCAATAGCATTATAGCGGTGTTATTTCCACAATTTGACGGCACTGGTGTTCAAGTTTATGGTCTGTATCAAGCTTGGAAGATGTGATGCCTCTGCTCGAGAGAGTAGTTAAACACTCACGTTTCACCATTAGGTCTAGGCCTGATACATATTAATATGAGCATTACCTCTTACTTCCAGAAGGGGATAAGTATAAAGTTTATCATCATCATTATATTTAGAAAGGTCTTCTTATTCAACTGTTGGTCTTGAAATAAGGTGGCAACCATTCATAGGCGCAGTGTACAACTGTGTAAGTTTTCTCTTGTCCTGGATAAGGGAAATTAGAAGTGATCAGGCAGGACAAAGCTTTTAAGGCCGGGGCTGCAAGACATTTCTCAGTTCTCACAGCATAATACTGACCATACGGACACTTCCTGTAGGAGAAAGTTAAGTAATTGTTGCAGTGGTGGATAGTCCCTCCATTTTTTATGAAAATGATGAGAAACCGCAAGTATTATCATATAAAAAATAACATTTTCCTCTCTTTTTTGGGGGTGGGATGGGGTGGTGGATTCATTCATTTACTCAAACACTCACTTTTTAGCAGTTCATTTTATTTAATTTGCTCAAATTCATAAGTATCTTCTTGACTTCTTGCACTAATTTTTGTAAAGGCCTTCTAGCCATATGCTATTACTTTTTCATTTTTCAGTGGGGATTTAGATCTTTCAGAGAAATGCTTCCAAGATTTAGTAATGAAAGATCCAAACCATCCTGGTGCTTTGGTCAACTTTGCTGCCCTTATGCTGTGTAAATATGGTTCAGTTGTTGCAGGTATGATTACTATTGTCTTGTAGTTTTAACTTTATATGGTTAGGTATTTAGAAGAAATGTTGCAGGTGCTGGAGCAAATGCCAATAGTGTGGCTCTCTCTGATCAAATTGCAGCAGTCAACGTTGCCAAGGAGTGTTTGCTAGCAGCTATCGATGCAGATCCCAAAGCAGCTCATATATGGACAAATCTTGCTAATGCATTTTATTTGACCAGTGATCACAGAAGTTCAGACAGATGTTTGGAGAAGGTGTAGCACCACTAATTCCTTAATTATTAATTTTTGTGCAGAAAATATCCTTTTATTGTACCCTTCCTTAAATTTATTGTATTTGTACTCCATATTTAAAAAAATTAAATAGTTTTTTTAATTAACCATTTGATCTCGCTGTTTTTTTTGTTCCCCAATCCTTATTTTTCCTGACCCGTGTTCCTCTTGGAAAGGCTCAGACTGTTTTGCTATGATGGTCTTCAGGCAGGAATACTGGAACCTAATTGTTTAGCCACACGATTCGCCATTGGAGTTCACAGAATCAGGGATGCTGAGAGGTCTCAGAATCCTAATGAGCAATTATCTTGGGCTGGAAATGAAATGGCTTCAATAATTAGAGAAGGCGATTCTAGCTTGACAGAGTCTCCAGTTGCATGGGCTGGTCTTGCAATGGTTCATAAGGCTCAACATGAAATTGCTGCTGGATTTGAAATGGATCATAATGAATTGTCAGAAGTGAAAGAACGCGCCATTTATAGTTTAAAGCAGGTAAACTCGCAGTTTTATTTTGGTCTTTCTGCTTTGTTTAGTTAACAAAAGAAATAGAGTAGAGAGAGAGAGAGAGAGGAAAGAGTGTAGAGCTACGAGTAGAAAGGAAAATGCGATAAAGGGTGAATATCATGTATTATATGGTAGGAGGAAATAAGAAATGAAAATAAGAAAAAGGATTGTGTGATGTTTTAAAACGAAAGAGGTAAAGGATATACATGGGATGCAAAAACTATGTTTTGTTCACAGTCATCGTATTTTCTTCTCATTTGTGCACACAACAAAGATTGTTTTTCTTCCCATTTTTATGTCCTCAACAGTGCCCTGTTTTCTCCCTACCAAACACACTTGGGTGTTCAGCATAAGGAACATTCCTTGTTAGTGTTGAGAATGTTGAGGACAGCTGTGCACATTCTAGATACGGAAATGCAGTTGTGGAGCTTTTAAATATACATCTATAGATACGGTGTCATGCATTACTATACATCTAAATATAATGCTATTGTATCATTTTGATTTATCAACAATTTAGTTCGTATTCTTTATTCTTAAATATTATTGTTACTAGTATAATAAAAGATAATAACAATAATAATGATGACAATAATAATAATCTTTATCCTTCCTTCCATGCATTCTCTCCATTTATTGCTGGTTTGAAGGGGTAGTGGGTAATCAGCTGTTTTTTATATTGTATCTTTTATTTCATGTGAAAAGGCTGTTGCAGAAGATCCTGAAGATGCCATTCATTGGCACCAACTTGGCCTTCATTTTCTCTGTACCCAGCAGTTTAAAATGTCACAGAAGTACCTCAAGACTGCAGCTGCATGCCTTAGGAGCTGCTATGCCTGGTCAAATCTTGGTAACCATCTCTCTTTTCAAAGTATATTTAAACAAAGAAAAAATACAATGAACAAGAGCCGGCTGGGTTGGCTGGCTACAGAAGGTTTTACAGGCTGTTAACTTCAGGCCCCAAGTCTTAATTCATTATTTCAGGGGCCAAAGGTCCCGAACACTCGTGTCATAAAACTGTGAACAATGATGTGCTGGCCTTGTATGTGAAAGGAGCCATGGAGGGCGAAATGTTTTTGGTTTGCTCACTTTGCTGTTTCCTATATATTACACACACAAGTGGGCATCACAATATTGACACTATATATAATAATAAATGCTAGGTATCTCATTGCAACTATCAGCTGAGCCTTCATGTGCTGAAGATGTATATAAACAAGCTTTGTTAGTGGCTACCCCTCAACAAGCTCATACAATATTTTCCAACCTGGGTAATCTCTATCGTCAGCTAAGAGATTTTGAGTCTGCCAAGGCAATGATAACAAAGTCTCTTGAACTGCAACCCGGTTATGCACCTGCATATAACAACTTAGGTCTTGTTTTTGTTGCTGAGGGCAAGTGGGATGATGCAAAGTTCTGCTTCGATCAGGCAATCCTGCATGATCCACTACTGGATTCAGCTAAGTCCAACATGATTAAAGCCATGAACATGCAGAGGATGTACACCAGCATGTCCTCGTATCTATGATTTGTAAATTGTGTTAGACTTGAAAAATAATATTTGCCGTGTTGTACGTAAAATAGGAGTCAGGTGAAGTACATTGGTTTCTTGCACATATAGATCGGTTCCTGTAATCCTGTACCGGAACTGGGGAGTAAAGTGCATGATCTGGAACCATTACTTAGAATTCGTTCAAGCTGGGTAGAATCCGGGTTTTCATGTGTTCATAGCCGGGAGTCCGGGACTGGTCAGCAGCTGGCCTGGGTTCACATCTAGGGATGGACCGTGATGGGACCGAGCCGGGACTGGGCGGGCTTCGGGCTTAAAGATTTCAGGACTGGTACCGGCCCAGGTTTGTAACGGGACCGGGTCGGGCCAGGCTCAAACAGTACCGGGTCGGGTTGGGCATTGGGACGGGGCTGGGCATTCAATTAAAAAATCAGTGCAGTCAGGCCCGGACCGGGCCCAAAAAATCAAGCCCGAAGCCTTCCCTTACAGTCACCGGGCTGGGCCTAAGGCCGGTCCTAAACAATATCGGGTCGGGCTGAGCCTAAGGCCGGTCCTAAACAATATCGGGTCGGGCTGAGCCTAAGGCCGGTCCTAAACAATATCGGGTCGGGCTGAGCCATCCCAGTCCATCCCTATTCCCATCCCATTTGGATATTTTTTAGGCTTTCAAGGGCTAATTATGTAAGTGTAACATGATTGATACATCATGTATGGAGTATATTATATTTATCCTCATTTCAGTACATTATTTATTAAAATTGCAAACATTATTTGTCAATAAATATGTGCAAGTCCTATCTTTGATAATTGATATGCAGAAATTCTAACTCTTATACTACGTATTTAATAAACATTTGCTTCCAAAAAAAAAAATAATAAACATTTAAAAATAAACAGGCTTGAACTAGGGCTGGGACTTTGGAACCAAGAACCGGAGAACCGAACCGGACCGAACCGTTATGACCCGGTTCGGTTCGGTTCCAACATTTATTAGTTATTTGTTAACGGTTCGGTTCCTATTTTTTATTAACGTTTCGGTTCTCGGTTCCTGAAAAAAATATGTACCAAAAACCGTTAAGGAACCGTTATATATAATAATTAAAATTATATACATATTCTTAGGAGTATATATATTTTAATGCATATTTACTTACTTATTTTTATATTACATTCATTGTTTTAGTTTTGTTATTTAACTATTTAAAACTATTATCCAATTCAACCGGTTCTCTTAGACTTCTTAGGCCTCTCATTAGGTCCAAACTCCAGCGGGTCGGAACTCGAAAGGTCCAAACTATTTAAAATTATTAGTTCTCCTTAACTGGTTCAACATATTTGTATTGTAATTTCCAACGTTGAATGTATTTTTGCCAAAAATTTAGTTGTAATTTGTAAGAATTTTTTCAAAAACTAGGAACCGTTAAATGACAAGAACCGAACCGTTAAGAACGGTTCGGTTCCTTATCGGTTCTATAAAATAATTTATAAGAACCGAACCGTTAGTAAAATTTCATATTTTCAAACGGTTCCACATATTTTGCCTAGGAACCGAACCGGTCCCAGGCCTAGCTTGAACCGACCTGAGCCAAAACATCCAACCAGTAGAAAAACAGGAGTATAGGACTTGAAACTAGGACTGGACTCGGACCGGGCGGCCGGACCCGGGACCGAACCGGCCCGGTCACTGTTTGGCCCGGCCCGGCCCGTGGCCCGGTGGGTCCACCGGTTCGGTTTGGCCCGGCCCGGGTGCTGGGCGGTCCGGACTCGGGCCCAGGTTTTGGTGAACCGGCCCAGCCGGTTCGGGCCCGGTCCGGGCCGGATTTTAATTTTTTTTTTTTTGAAATTTTTTTAAGTTTAGGTTGGATTAGGTATTTTGGGCCATTTGAGGTGGTTTGGGCCGGTTTGGCCCGGAACCGGAACCGGCCACCGGCGGTTCGGGCTCGGGCCTCCCCTTTCCTGGCCCGAGGCCCGGCCGGGCCCAGGCCCGAACCGGGCCCGAACCGGTCCGAGTCCAGCCCTACTTGAAACAAGAGTAAAAGCAAGACGTTTTCCTTAAAGTACTCTGAGCCCGTTTGGTAGCACGAAAATCGGCTGATTTGGCTGATTCTGCTGAAATTTATGAAGTTCTGGCTGAAGTGGCTGCATTGGCTGATTCTGCTGGTTTAAGAAATAAAATTTTTAAAATCTATTTTATTAATAAAATATAGAAGATATTATATGTGAAAATCTACCTTAATCTAAAAGGAAAAGAAGTTCAGGCTGAAATTTTCCCGCTGACTTATGTCGCTTTCACAGAACGTGAATGTATTTGCTCAAGATAAAAAAAAACACGCATTGTTTGTGTAGATCGGTGGTGCCCACTTTTGGGTTAACTCTGGAATTCATTTGCCCATGTCCTTTTTAAATGAAGCTTTGTTTTGATTGGTGGAGGATGGAGATACGAACAGTGTATGGAAAAGGCCCATACTATTCAAACATATTATTGTTGCTTACATCCCCTCCTGTTGGTGTAGATCGGTGGTGCCCACTTTTGGGTTTAATCTGTATTTCATTTGCCCCTATCTTTTTTAAATGAACCTTTGTTTTGATTGGTGTAGGATGGAGGTACGAACATTGTATGGAAAAGGCCCATACTGTTCGAACATATTATTGTTGATTACCTTAGCTATAAAAGCGTCATCCCATCCGCATTGCATTCTCATTCACGTTGCGTTCTCGCTCAAATAGAAAAAATACACATCAAGTAATATACTCCGTATTTATTTCACTATGGTTGGGATGTGGTCAATGATTCGTCATATTGACCAAAGTAAGACAACTTGGACGATAAAAGCAAGGGCCACGAGAGTGTACTGTGAACCTGCGCACGATGGCTTCCCGCCCTCTTTGGAGGTCGTCTTTCATGACGAGGAGGTCGTAGAATTTAGAATTGTTTCTAAACTGTAGATGTGGTTTATACTGATGCCTGTGCGTTATTGTATGCAAGGCTCAAAGATTCACGCACACATACCAGATCAGTTTGTTGGAAAGTTTTTCGGGATCTTTAGGGAAGGCCGCATCTTCGCGGTTAAAAATTTTATGGTTGAGAAAAATTTAATGTATTTTAAAACTACAACGAGTGCTTACAGGCTGCGTTTCTTTAAGAAAAGTGCTGCTTTCGAAATACAAATTCCATTTCCATTGCGAACATTTTCTTTGATATCTTTCGCTACACTACAAGCTGAGGATGTCATTGATGATAAATTAGGGTATGCTGTTCGAAACAATGAGTGTGGGAGTGTGGGGTTGGTGTGTTGTTCAAAATAAATGATGTTAGGTAGTAACATTTGGAGCCCGTTTGGTAGCACCAAAATCGGCTGTTTTGGCTGATTCTGCTGAAATTTATGATATTCTGGCTGGAGTGGCTGTTTTGGCTGATTCTGCTGATTTAAGAAAAAAATATTTTAAAAATATATTTTATTAATAAATTAAAGAAAAAATTATATGTAAAAATAGCTAAAATGGTCCTCTACAGTAACTTCAGCCAATACAGCCAGAAAAGTAACTCCAACCTTACTTTTTCGGCTTATTACACAATTCAGCGCGCGAAAGTAAAAGTTACGTGTTTGGTGAAAAAGCTGGCTGATAAGCCTGATAAGCCGAAAACAGAGTTCTCCAAACGGGCTCTTGGTTTGATATGCAAGCCACGTTGCAAGTTATTAGTGACGGATGTCAAAATCATACGGAGTAATATTTAAAAAACAGTTCATACGTGTAAATTTATCTGATGAGGGGTATGTGTTTCAAACAAAAAAAATATGTTTTCCCATTAGATTTTTCGTATGGGCCATTCTCAAATATACGAGTAAAATAACAAATTTTGATAAGTACAGTTGCTTAAAATAATCTGAAAAAAATAAATAACCAAAAAAAAGATTGTACATGGGTGAATAATATATATTTAATACGTAATATGCGTTCTTTTTAAACATATAAACATGCCTTTAAAACCGTAACAATAACAATGTTTTTCAAAAAGTGATTTAAGTTTCGTAAAAAAAAGCGATTTAAGTTAGTTTATTCAACAAATGGTCGAGAAGTATTAAACATTGTCAGAAGTTTGGCAATTAAAAATATTCACTATATATATTACATAGTATTAATTATCTACAAATAGTTAATCACGTCCATTACCTTATTTTCAATTAAAAAATAATTTATTTTTTAATGAAAGTAAAAATAACCTGGGTTAAAAGCATATATAAATGCTTTAACCATTTGTATTATCTTTAACCGTTTGTGTCAGTTATTACATCTTATTCAATTTTGAATGAATATTTTTCAAAAAATGCTTCGGTAACAGAGTAAAACTTCGATTACAATATACCAAGTATGATAAAGATATGTTCCTACTATCTACTAATATCTAAAAGGAAAAGATTTTTTGCTATAGGTTTGCCCTCAAACCTGTCAACATCAACTGGATCGACACTAAGTTCTCAAAAAAAGTGCAAAAATAAATATTCAGAAGTTATTTAGGCGTGTTGGAGAAGATTTTATCCATTGAAAGTAATCATGACATACGGAGTATTTGGTGAAAATAGCACAATAAAACAAAAAATGGATGAAGACCCATCATGTCGCCAGCCTGTAATGGAATTGACTACTCAAAAGATCAATAGTACTCCATATCGTCGAGGATTTAGAAAACGAAAAAAGAAAATCAGCAAAAGATATCCCACTTGCTATTCCTTGGGTCGGTGCATGCAAGTTGGTTCACTTCGCTATAAATAATTCGCAAAATCGTGCCGAATACCATCGAAAATTTCATTTTGTCTCTTCTCCTTTTGTTTTCCCTCTCAGGTTCTATAGTTCGAAGTTGAACGCCTGCAATTCGCAATAATATCATGGAAATATGTTTATGCATGTTTGTTATGAATATATTTTACGAAGTATTCATGTGTGTTGATGAATTCAAAATAAAGTAATTTATTTTATTACTCAATAAAATGTATACTGTGGAGTATTTATTATGATTAATTATATCTAGGGTTAGTTGTATATCTAAATCTAAATATTATCAGAGCATATTTTTAGAGAGTTTTTTTTCAATGATGGAAGTTATTCAGTTTGTTGAGTGTTAATCAGTGGGTCAAATTACAAATACAAATACTACACAAAATGCTTAAAAGCTAAAAGTATCAACATGATTATGATGTTATTCATAATTAAGACTTTACTGGACGAAAAGTTAATAGACAATCTCAGATTTTAGGGATTCTGGGAATGCATCAATTTAAGATGGAGCCATGGTGTGTAAAACAATGAATTCTGGAATCAAGGTTTTGTAGAAGAGGGGAATGAGACCGAGTGCCATAAAAAATTGAGTTATTCTGATACTCCGTATATTTTTGTAGAAATTATATATACAGATGTTTATGTAGGTGGTAATGTGATATACTGATGTGGACATGTGGTCTATTTAATAGGGTAATAGTTGATATTTATTTTTTCCACCGGCATATAAACTGTGTGGATTTGTGGAAAATATTTGAGAAGGATTTTGTGGTGGGGCAATTGTAAGATCGGCACTTACGTACTCCGTATGAAAATTGAAAACCAAATTAAAAACATATGTACTGCGTTGTAACAAAGAGCATGACAACACAACACATATGGAAGTGTGAATGGAGGTTTTACACTTGGTCTGTAGTAATAAATATTGGAAAATAAGGGGAGGTTTCTTTTATGTTTTTTGGGTACA